CCCCCCCCATTACAAAAAATTTCAAAAAGTCTACAACAACTTTTTCTAAAAGTCTAAAAAATCTTTCCTACTTTTGAAAAAAAAAATTTCCTTTGTCGGGGAATCTTTCCTTTTTTCAAAGACTTCCTGACATCTTTTCTCCAAAGTCTTCAATCTATATATATATATATATATATATTTGAATTTAGCCAAAAAATAAAAAATAAAAAATAAAAAAAAGTCTTCCAAGGAATAATTATTAATTAAGAGAACGTTTCTCATAGCAACTTTCAATTTCTTGTGGAGAAAAGTTGACCAAATTGGAGAAATAAAATGTAAATTATTTTAGGTAGAGTGGGAGAACAAAATTACTATAAATAAGTTTTATTCATGTAAGAGTTTTTTTTTTTTTTTTTTGCTCGAGCAACCAGCTAGCGAGGTCCTAGGCTCAACTGAAATTTGAAATTTGTTTTATACAATGTTTTTAGTTTTTTATTTTGTTATATTTATAATTGAAAGTTTTTCCATAGTTAAATTAGGCCTCCACTAAATATGGGTTATGACTTTACAACAGTGGTAGAGTTATTTTCTTTACTTATCGGAATGTTTGTAAATGGTCTCAAATGGGAACAAACCGATTTTAGAAATAAAAGATATTGGAAACAATATTAGAATTCCTTGAAAACTGCATTTAATCCTTAATTTTAGGGACTTAAAATTTATTTTTAATTATAATTACTATACATGCAAACACATTAATTCAACAATCCTCACCATTTTGCCAGTGTTTAATTTAGATAAAAATCAAATATTTTAATAGATTTTAATAAAAGGTGATGAAATATATAGTCGGAAAGTCGTGTGCCACATTAAATTTTTAATTAAAATTAATTGTTAATTTTGACTAAACTTTTACCTTTTAGTTAAATCAAACCAACGACATAATTACAATTAATTATTACTCAACTAAACCCATAAATAATCTCGAATAACTTCGGTAGTTTGAAATCCGACTTTAAAAAAAAATAATTTAACTCTAATAATCTGAAGCTAATTTAATTAAATAAGCATTAGTGCTCCTATCTTCTTCACTGTCTGTCAACAGGAAAGAGAAAATGAAATAAATAAATATAAACCTAAACAGATTACTGTAATATATAATTTAAACATTATTTTAGAGTTTTGAATGCAGTATATAAATCATAATAGGAAGGAGTGGTTTGAAGTTTAGCTGTATTGGGCGGGATTTTCGGCGGTCAAACCTCCAACCGGAGTCATTCTTATTCCCGGTTCGATTCAGTTAGACCTAAACTCGATACAGTGGTCCTCTGTCTCTTTAAACGAGGGCTGAGCAACCGCTTTAATTACAGACCTCCATTGCCACCACATGTAAAGCTTAAAGAGCTACCGAGAATGTCAGCGTTTTAAATGCCAAAAAAAAGTCCCCTTTCTTGCATATCAGTGTAGATATATACACATGTCTATATAGACTGTTCATATGTCTTGCTGTCACTGTCTATTTATCTCAAGCCCAGTTTTTTGACTTCTTTTTTAAAATCCCCCTCTCTCTCATTGGAACTGTAAGAAGGAAATAGTAGGTAGAGAGAGAGAGCAAAAGACTTTTCAAAGGGGAATTTGAAGAATCAAATCTTCATTGCTCTAATTTATAGAGGTATGGTAACCAAGAAAGTCTGTTTCTTTTATTTCAAAGCAACATATACAAATGTGTAATCCTCTATAACGCTTAGAATCTCGATTTTTTTCTAAACCTAATAGCTATTTAGTGCATTGGGTATGTATGAATGTGAAGCGAATTTTATTTGAAGATTAATGAAGTTGCAGCAGAAATGGAGGATCGATGTAACAGGGTTTTGGTTTGTGCTGTGTTGTTTTTCTTGCTAATTGCTTGTACAGTAGAGCAGCAATTCTTGGTGTCAAGGCAAGAAAGATTAGCTCTGCTTCAACTGAGATCTTCATTAGGGTTGAGGGCGAAAGAGTGGCCCATAAAATCCGACCCGTGTACTTCCTGGGTGGGAATCCAATGCAGGAATGGGCGGGTTACAAGGATCAACATTTCCAGGTTCAAGAGGACTCGGAATGGTAGTCAAAACCCTCAGTTCTCGGTGGATGCCCTTCAGAGTTTCACCTTTTTATCCTCATTCAATGCTTCGAATTTGGCGCTTCCGGGTTCTATTCCTGAGTGGTTTGGTCAGCGACTTAGCTCACTCGAAGTGCTTGATCTTAGGTCTTGTTCCATTGCTGGGGCTATTCCATTCACTCTTGGCAATTTAAGTAGCTTAACTGAACTTTATTTATCGGATAATAATCTTACTGGTATAGTTCCTACAAGTTTAGGTCAGTTGTTGCGCCTTTCTGTACTTGATCTTTCGCGGAACTCCCTCACAGGAATGATTCCGGGGTCTTTTTCAGCCCTCGGGAACCTCACTTTGCTTGATATGTCTTTGAATTTCTTGTCCGGGGCAATTCCTCCAGAAATTGGGACTCTGTCTAGGCTGCAGTTCTTGAATCTTTCAGGCAACAGTTTGTCCTCTTCGATACCTGCCCAACTCGGTGACCTTTCCAGTCTGGTTGACCTTGATCTTGGTTTTAACTCACTATTGGGATCGGTTCACCGTGATTTAAGAGGGTTGAAAAACTTGCAGAAATTGATAATTGGGAATAATTTCCTATCTGGAACATTGCCTGATGATTTGTTTTCCACTTTCACTCAGTTGCAGCGTGTGATTTTGAGCCATAATGCTTTCACTGATGACTTCCCATTTGTGCTGTGGTCAATGCCCCAATTGAGGTTTCTAGATGCCTCAAGAAATAACTTTACTGGTACGCTGCCCAATCATAGTTTGAATGCCAATGCCAGTTTTGCGGTATTTAACATTTCGCAGAATTTCTTTTATGGAAATCTTACATCTGTAATAAGGAGATTCAGTTTTATTGACATGTCGGGAAATTATCTCCAAGGTAGAGTTCCAGATTATGCGAGTGGAAACACATCTTTTAGTAGGAACTGCCTACAGAATGTGGCAAGTCAAAGGCGTGTCAGTGAATGCGCATCTTTCTATGCTGAGAGGGGATTGGTGTTCGATAATTTTGGACTGCCAAATGGAGTTCTGCCTTATCCACCTAAATCTGATAAGAAGAGCCACCGAACAGTAATAATTTTGGCTTCTGTTTTGGGGGCTGCTGGGCTGATTGCACTTTTGGCAACTTTCTTTGTACTGCTGATTGCAAGCAAGCGTAAAAATGGTGCAAAAAACCAGAGGGACATTGGCGTGGGACCTGTTCCTGCAAATGGAAGTTCACCTCCAGGCGCGGCGTTGGATTTGTCTAGTTTGGGAGACACGTTTACCTATAAGAAAATTCTTGAAGCCTCAGGTGAATCGAGTGATGTAAATCTGATCAAGAACGGCCACTCTGGTGACTTTTTCCGTGGTATCCTTGAAGATGCAAACCCCATAGTCATAAAAAAAATTGATTTGCGTTCATCGGTCAAAAAGGAAGCGTATATGTCAGAATTGGACCTGTTTAGCAAGGTTTCTCATCAAAGATTGGTACCTCTATTGGGACACTGCTTGGAGAATGAGAACGAGAAGTTTCTCATATACAAATACATGCCAAATGGAGATTTATCCATGTCATTATTCAAGAAAACAAATTCAGACGCTGACAGTTTACAGTCACTGGATTGGATAACGAGATTGAAAATTGCAATTGGAGCTGCCGAAGGTTTATCTTACCTACACCATGAGTGTACCCCACCGTTTGTTCACAGGTATTCTTCGACTTAGTTATGTTGAATTCCTTTCAATTCCATGTTTTTCTTTTTTGCCTCAAATTACCACTTGACAGTTGACACTTCATTTTACGTTAAGCTCATTTCATGGCGAATATTTGGTGCTTTTATGTGTAGGCATGCATTAATAAGTACTTATCCTAATGTAGTAGACTACTCATTAAAAAAAAAAAAAAAAAGGGAAAAGAAAATGGAATTATAATACATGAATTGAATGTTATGCTTCAGGTTTTATTTCTAGTTGTTCACCCTAGATCATACGCGTGACCCTGCACATGCACCTAATTGTAAACATTCATGTGAACTACTGGCCTAGAGTATAGAATGGAGGAAGTTTGTATTTCACAGTCGTTGTCTTATTGTAAACTAGGAAATAGAAGCAAATCAATAACAAAGTACTGTCATTGTCTTATTGTAAACTAATGCAAGCCCCCGATAAATTTTTATTATTTTGTGGAGTTTAGAAGTTACATGTTCTGTACAATGTGCATCATGAAAGCTATATTTGTTAACAACTTTTCTTGTTTAAAATTATTTCCCCTGGTTCTGGTATACTGTGTCTAAACACAATTGAAATCTTTAACGGCGATAGTTTTTTACTTTTTTTTTTTTTTTTTTCATGAAGGGACATTCGAGCCAGCAGCATACTTCTCGATGATAAATTTGAAGTACGGCTGGGAAGCTTGAGTGAAGTTTGTGTTCAAGAGGGGGACACCCATCAAAACAGAATTACAAGGTTACTGCGGTTGTCACAGTGAGTATTTTTGTCAATCAAATCAACGAATTGTTTATTTTCTTTATTCTTCTCAATAGTCATTTGCTATAGCTTTTCAAGGGCACGCAGGAGACTCTAACCACATTAGCATGTTTGGCTAAACTTAAAAAGAAGTAAAAGTTACTCTTAGCTTCTTTTTATTCAAACATAACTTCAAAAGTTAATTGTTTCACTAATGCTTATTTTTCTTAATTTGCTTTCTAGATAAGTAACTTTTTTGAGCACCAAACATGCTAGAACATGTGTTTGGCCTACTCGTATCAAAACAAAAAATGAAGTTGACTACTGAATTTCTTTCTTCGTATCAGCTAATGATTTTTTAAGATAAAACTTAAAAGAGCTATCTTGTTTGTGATTTATGTGAAGTTATTCTTGTACAGCTTACTCATGTAATTATCCCAAATTTATTAAGAAAAAGGCTTAGGTACTTTTATTCTTGTACTGTTCAGTCATACACTTAATCAAGGATCTGACTGTGATTCTTTTCCTCTATGCAGGACATCTGAGCAAGGTACTTCAGGTATGTGCAATGTCTTCTAACTGTAGTTCTCTTCTTAATCATTGTTTGTTTGCTCTATATATTCACCATTTCTCCTCTGTAATTGGTGGCAATAAAATGCTACCGAGTACGTATCCTTGCCAAGACAATGCTATATTCATTCTATCTGGATTTATAAAGGGGATTGATTTCACTCCAAAGATCAGATACTAGAATCTATTGAGGAAAATCTCGTTGTATCATCTTGAAACAAAGAGCGGCTTTTAGAATTCATAGTTAGAGGGCAACTGCTGAAGAGAAACTTTGCTATATTCTCGGTACTTGAGAGTTCATTTCTTGTCCATATAAAGCTGATGATTGGTTCCATGTGACACTGTTGCTTTCGTTGATGGTTCACAGAAAACTAACCTGAGAAGCTTCGACGTGGAAAACATTAAATATTGATTATTGCTTCATGTTCTGATCTATTCCCGTTATTTTCCTTTAAATAACAATCTAATATTTGATGAAACTTCAATTGAGCTCTTCACTCAGGTAGTTGTTTGAGCATCATTTTACTTGGACTATCCCTCGTCCTAGAATTTAGAAACACGGTAATTTCCCAAAAGAAGTACCATTTATGAGGAAACATACTGTGATCTTGCAATTAATCGTCCAACTATGCTAAGCAATTTTGTCCATTTAGTTTGATAGTGGTGGTTAAAGATCGTAATGATTTTTGCTCTCAGAACGGAAAATTGTTAAATTTTTACTTGCTCTGATGGTTATTTTCTAAATATTCTGTGTGTTCAAAATGGCCAGGTATGACCAATGCAACATGTGCGTATGATGTTTACTGCTTCGGAAAGGTTTTGCTTGAGCTCGTAACAGGCAAGTTGGGTATCAGTTCATCAACTGATGCCACCACGAAGGAGTGGTTAGAGGCGACATTGCCTTACATCAGTATATATGACAAGGAACTCGTGACAAACATTGTCGACCCCTCATTAATCATAGACGAGGATCTTCTGGAGGAAGTGTGGGCCATGGCAGTTGTTGCAAGATCTTGCCTTAATCCCAAGCCCACAAGACGGCCCCTCATGAGATATATTCTTAAAGCTTTGGAAAACCCTTTGAAGGTTGTAAGAGATGAGCAGACGAGCTCAGCAAGGCTTAGAACTACTTCCTCAAGAGGGTCGTGGAATGCTACTGCCCTATTTGGCAGCTGGCGTCAAAGCTCTTCAGATGTGGCGGCCATGCCAGCCGTACCTTCTCAAAAAGCAGAACTTGCTGACAGTTTCAAACAGTCGGGAGCAACAGTTTCTCAAGAAAGTGGACAAAATAATGATGAAGGATATGGCCATTCGTTCTCAACCAAACAACATTCCAACGAGATCTTCCCGGAGCCCTTGAATGTGCAAGATGTAGAGCGAGAAAACGAGGACTAAATGGAAGATTATTCTACTACATTCTTTGTCAATAACATAGCATTCTCCACATTTGGATGTCTTGCTTGCTGGTTCTTCCCTGTAAATTTTCCTCTTCTTCCGGAGTTCTCTGGTCGATCCGTGTACAAGTCGCTGGTCGGTCGTGTTGGACAGTGAAAAATTCAAATTTTTTGCAAGTTTTAGACTCACCTTTTCTGAGGAGAGAGACACAGCAAGGGTTAGGTTGTAGTTGCTCTTTGTGCTTCCATCTGTTCGAAAGCTTGTTTTCGGTTAAAACAAGCTACAATTTTTTTGTAATTCATATTTTCTATTGGGCTCTCTTTTGAATTGTAAATTATCATATTGTGTAATTCATAAGACTTCATTGCTTCAAATTCCAAATTAATTACGTTGAAATTCTGTTTTAAAATGTTTATTTATTTATTTATTTTTATTTTTAATTCTAATGTCTTTTATTGGACAAATTAAAAGTCGAATCCGAATTGTAAATGTTGCTACGGAAGGTGTTCTAAAAATTGAAAATGAATTTAACAAAATTAATGAAGGTATTCTGTAGCTAGGGTCGAAGCGAGACCTCGGACTTGCTTGATCAACATTTTTTCAAAAAGAAAAAAAAAATTCTTAAACAGTGACTCGACATTATTTCAATCACACATTTTGTGATAAAATAATATTACACGTTGATGCTACCAAAAATCGTACCTGTTGATTTTTCGAGTTTGACGACTGATAATGAGCACGAACGAGATCTTTCGATACCTGAAACAAAGGCGTCAAGGTGTGTCCTCGTTGCCCATCCGATGCTTAAGTCAGAGAGAGAATTTGTGCGTAAGGCTATGAATTGAAACTTATGTAAAACGTACCTGAATAATGATCAAGGGCTTTGTATTTATAGAGGTAGGTGGTGTGTTCATACTAGGATTCCGTAGTGCACTTGTAATAGGATAGCTTGATTTTGCAATCTTATACCAATGAGTCCTACGCGAGATAGGAGTTTGAATTGTGGTATAACTGGGATACCAATTATTTAATAGAGTTCTTCTAGGTGTAGGAGACATAGGTTGAGGAGTTTAAGTCAGAATAAATTTCTTATTGGATAAGGTGTTGACGCCGGGGACATGTCGAGGACATAATCCCGAGGACACGTCGAATGACGTTCCACAAACTCTTGGGTCAAGAGCTCGGGCATGTGAAAGACATCCTGAGCACATATATCCCGAGCATACTGATACACAAATCGACGAAATAGAGCCCTCGAGTTTGTATACGTCGGGAACAGTATTTGGTAACATCAGTGGCCCCCGTGCACCTGTGCTCGATTATATGCATGAGGATAGGTGCAAAAGATCAAAATTACAGTCCTCGGTATAATACCCCCGACAATTCATTGTAGAGGAAGGATTCGTGAGGGCTGACGTTAGATGTGGTAGTGACGCCAGCCCTAGTACAAAGGCGGTGTAACTTTCAGACCCTAGGATGTAGGACACGTGGCATGATCGAATGGTTCAGGATGCGACCTTTGGCCTCCCACCCATGTTTCCCTATATAAGCCTCATTTCCTATTCATTTTTTACTTTTTCACTATCAGTAAACTTTGTTGGAGTCGTCGGGATAAGGTGAGTCCTCTAGACTCTAAGTTGTTTGTTTTTAGAAAAGTCCAAATTTAAGATAGGATGTCGAGTAGTGATAGTAATACGTCGTCCTCAAGTTCAGGAACCCGTACCGAGGACTTAGGACAGTCAATAATACCTATGACCGTCCCTATAAGTGTTAATCCTCGAGCTCAGGATATCTGTATACCCCGACCAACTGTGTTGGTTTAAGGAGCACTTAGCAGTGGCGACTGCTAGGGAGTTCGGCCTGATGCCGAACTGTGATATTAGATCTCCCGGGGATGAGGATAGGGTAGCCATTGCTCAGGAAGGAGAGTCTGTCATTTTTAAAGATTCTTTGAAGGGGGGATTTAGGTGGCCACTGCATCCTTTTTTCCTCGCACTTTTGACCGAGCATAATATGAGTCCGGGGCAATTAGTGCCAAACGGGTGGAGGATGTTGACATATTTTTTTATTGCTTGTAGATACCTCGGGATTATCCCGTATGTTGACTTATGTAGGATGGTCTCCGACCTAAACAACTCCCCCAGTACTCTTGTTTTGCCTATCTCTCAACCCGTGGAGGGTTTAGAATCCCGAGGATGTCTAGCTCCCTGAAAGGGTGGAAGGACAAGTGGTTTTATGCCATACCTCAAGATCCCGACGTTCCATTTAGTCCTCGGTGGGGGTGCCCGATACTGCTAGGTTTTGTGGGCGTCAGGCATATTTTGAGTCGTTGGAAAGGCATAGGCAAATGCTAGAGGAGCTCGAGCCCCTCGTTTATGACTTGGATGATATCCTCGAGCTTGCGAACCTGAAAGGCATCGAGGGTAGGATACGTGATTTTAACGTTTTAATTTCCCGACCTATATTTTTATTAATGCTCATGCTAATAACATGTCATTTTTTGCAGAAATGACGTTTGACCCAAGTGCCCTTCGTCAAGCAGTTAGCAAGAAGTCAAAGGTTCTCCAGGCTCAGGCCCCAGGCCAGAGGAGGGGCCAAAAGAGACCTCGGGATTCGAGGCTTGAAAAGCAGACCAGTGGGCCCGGTGAATCGTCAAGACCCCGAGGACCATCCCAGGAGTAGGGAGGATGGGAACTCAGCAACAAGATCTTTTGGGGACTCCTCGGGTGCCTCATCCTCGAGGACCTGTTGACGTGGTCGACCTTGAGGATGAATGCCTGCCACCGGGCCCTGCTAATCCCGAGGGATGCTCCCGGTGTCAGTCCGTGCTCAGCATTGTTGACAAGTACCGGGCAGACGTCGATTTAAGCAATGGCTTGAGGGCTTTCGAGGCTATGGCCTTGAAGGTAAGATCGTCAACAGTTTTTATTATTATTATTTTTTTTTTTTTGCAATCTTTACTTCCCAAGGTTAAGTTGCCCACACTCTTTTTTCCAGACATTAGGCATAGCTCGAGGTCTTTCCTTAAAGGGAAAAGACGAGTCTTCAAAGATGGCCGACCTCGAGGGTGTCGTTTCTGCTCAGGATCTGAGGATCGTCGACCTCGAGGAGAAAGGTGCTCAACTGATGAGGGAGCGCGAGCAGATGAGAAACGATCTTCGCAATGCTCAGGATGAGGCCAGTACTACGAAGGACGAGGCTGAGCATCTCAAGCTCGAGCTCGAGCGCACTCAAAAAGAACTGGATGCAAAGCTGGTCGATGCTCGAGATGATGCGGTCGAGGACTTTAAGAAGTCTGACGCCTTAAACGAGTTGAAGGGCGAGTATGCTATGGGCTCATACTTTCATGCCTTGAAGGAAGCTCGAGCTTTTATTCGCCTGAGGCCAGATGCTCGCCCTGAGGATTTGAAGTCGATTCTCGAGGTGGCTGATGACCTTCAACTTTCTGAGTCTGAAGAAAATGTTGGGGATGAAGACGTCGATATTGAGGGTGACGATGTCGAGGAAGGCCAAGCGGTCAGAACACCAACGTCTAAATTTGATCAGTCCCCGAGTATTTATTTTGATTTGTAATTTTTGATGTAAAATGCCCGATCTTAATGGAAATAGTTTTTCCTTTTTACCGAGCTCATTTTGTGTTATCGACGCATTTTTATTTCATCAACACATGCCGACGACATTTATCAATTAATTATCCTGACGACTGAGAAGAATTAATTATCTCGACGACTAAGAAGATTAATTATCTCGACGACGAATTAATTATCTCGACAATTGAGAAGAAATAATTCGATTTTAAGTAAGTTATAATGCCGAGGACAGTGATAAATGTAGTTTAACACCTTGACGGTAAAATTATCCCGACGTTAGTATTGAATCCAATCCTATGAATACCTCGAGGACTAATCACGAGGGGTGGTAACCTCGAGGTATACGAAGAATTGTGCTCGACCTTTGTACAGAAGTATATCCCGAGCTTTCACTTTGGAACCTCAGACAAAAATTCAAGGATAGATGGTCGGGGATGTATGTCCTCGGGATGTTTACTTGTGCTGCAAGATTTTGATGTGCTGATTATGGGCTCCAAGGTTTTGGTGCTTGAGCGGGGCAAGGCTTAGGTGCTTGCTCGGGGCAAGGCTTAGGTGCTGAGATCACATATTTTTATGAATAGCTTAATACTTAAAAATCAACTTGGCATGCAAGCCTGACAACTAAAAACGTGAACCTTCGTACGCAGGTCTGACTACCGAAAAAATAAAACTTGGCACGCAGGCCTGACAACTAAAAACGTGAACCTTGGCACGCAGGCCTGACAACCGAAAAGACAAAAAGAAAAAAAAAACTTAAAGCAATGCAATTTTTTACCTGCCATGTGGTAGGGAAAATTACTTGTAATAAATCTTCAAATTATCGGCATTCTAAGGCCTAGGAAGGGGTCTTCCCGAAGTGTCTCTTAGACTGTATGCTCCTTTGCGAACCTGTCGTATGACCTCAAAGGGTCCTTCCCAGATGGGCCCGAGCTTCCCTGAGGGGTGACCTGCTGCTTTGGCCCTCCTCAAGACCAAGTCGCCAGCTCTGAACCTCCGAGTCTTGACTTTGTTATTAAAATATTTTGCTGTCTTAGTTCGATAAGAGGCAACCTTTATAGCGGCTTGCTCCCATACTTCTTCCAAGAGAGCAAGGTGTTCAGTTGTATGCCCCGAGGTTTCTGGCTCGAGTCTCTTATGGCTTGGCAGTCTAATTTCCACCGGGACCATTGCTTCAATGCCATAGGCTAACATAAAAGGGGTTTCTCCTGAGGTTGTCCTATGAGTTGTTCTATACGTCCATAGTATAGAAGGCAGCTCGTCGGACCAAGAATCCCTAGCATTACCAATTTTTGTTCGGAGGTCTTGTAATATGATTCGATTTGTCACCTAGGCTAGATCATTGCTCTGAGGATGCGAAATTGAAGTGAGACGGTGATCAATCCCAAAGTTTGAGTAAAAGTCCATAAACTGTTGATTGTCAAATTGCCTGCCATTGTTGGTGATGAGGACCTTTGGTATCCCAAACCTGCAAATGATAGACCTCCAAGTGAAGGCTCTTAGCTTGGGCTCCGATATCATTGCGAGAGGTTCGGCCTCTGCCCATTTAGTGAAATACTCTACTGCTACAGCAACAAACTTTAATTAACCTCTTGCCACAGGAAAGGGCTCGAGGATGTCAACTCCCCATTGTTCAAACGGGGCCGAACAGTTAATGTTGGTAAGGTCTTCGGCCGGTGAATGGATAACATTACCAAACCTCTGACACCTATCACATCTCTTAACATATTCTGAGGCATCATTCTTCATAGTTGGCCAATAGTACCCATATCGTATGAGTTTAAAGGCCAGGGCCCTGGCTCCTTGATGATTCCCGCACACACCTTCATGAACTTCAGCAAGGGCCTGGGATGATTCTGATGGTCTAAGGCACCTTAGGTATGGAAGAATAATACTTCTGCGGAAGAGGATACCGCTGATCATGCAGTACCTAGGAGCTCGAGCTCGAATGCTTCTAGCCAACCTAGCATCGCTTGGTAGATTTCCACTTGTGATGAATTCTATGATTGGGTCCATCCAAGACAGTTCGTTGTCAATGTCCATGACGTCGGGCGTTTGATTGATGCTAGGTTCTGTGATGACTTTGATGTGAACTGTTCTGTCCAGACTGTCAACCCCCATGAACACAAGCCTAGACAATGCGTCAGCTTTTCTGTTGTGCTTTCGAGCAATTTTTGCAATTTCACAACTCTTGAATTTTCGTTGAAGATCCTGAACTTTCATGCAGTATAAACTCATTTTCTCGTCTTTCCTTTAAAATGATCCTTCAATCTGTCCAACCACCAATTGTGAATCGCTGAATACCTTCACAAACTCGAGCTCAAGGCTAAGGGCTAGCTCCAGAGCAATAACGACGACCCCATACTCGGCCTCGTTATTGGTTGCTTCAAACTCGAACCTTGAATCTCCGTATGTTTGTCAGGGCTGATGATGATGACCCCTGCACCCGAGCCCGAGGAGTTCAATGCTCCATCGACAAAAATTTGCCAAGTGTCTAAATTAGTGCTCATGCTCGAGCCGTCACCTGGCCCCCGAGGCCTAGGGGTTAGTTCTGCAATGAAGTCGGCTAGTGCTTGGGCTTTGATAGATGGGCGTGGTTTGAATTCGATGTCAAATTCTCCAAGCTCGATCACCCATTTCATCAGTCTTCCTGAGATGTCCGGCTTCTGAAGTATATGCCTGACTGGTTGATTAGTGAGCACCACAATAGGGTGAGACTGAAAATACTGTCGAAGTTTTCGTGCTGTTATCACCAAGGCAAGGGCAAGTTGTTCTGCCAAAGTATACCTTGTTTCCCAATCTTGTAGGACCTTGCTTACATAGTAGATAGGTTGTTGGACTCTGTTAAACTCTTTCACCAAGAGCCCACTGACCGCGTTTTGAGATATGGCCAAGTACAAAAATAAGGTGTCACCAGGCTCAGGCCTAGTGAGAATAGGAGGAGATGCCAATGTTTGCTTGAACTCCTGAAAAGCTTTCTCACAGTCTTTACTCTAATCAAAGCCTTGGTTTCCTCTGAGGACTTTGAAGAAGGGATAGCACCTGTATGATGCTCGGGACATGAACCTGTTCAAGGCTGCTATCCTACCGATCAACCTCTGTACCTCTTTCTTGTTCCTTGGTGATTCCATAGATGCTAAGGCTTGTATTTTGTCAGGGTTAGCCTCTATCCCTTGGTGAGTGATCATAAAGCCCAAGAACTTGCCCGAGGCTACGCCAAATGCACATTTTGCTGGGTTTAACTTCATTCTGTACTTTCGCAAGGTGTGGAAAAACTCTTCAAGATCTGAAATATGTTGGTCCACCCGTTTGCTCTTAACCACCATGTCATCAACGTACGCCTCCACATTCCTTCCTATCAAGTTAGCAAAGACTTTGTTGATGAGCCTTTGGTATGTTGCCCTTGCATTCTTCAAATCGAAAAACATGACCTCATAATAGTATATGGTGGAATCGACCATGAATGACGTCTTTTCTTGATCTTCCTCGGCCATAAGGATTTGATGATAACCAGAAAATGCATCTAAGAAGTTGTATAGCTTATGTCCAGATGTGCTATCCACCAAGTTGTCAATCCGCAGTAGGGAATAACTATCCTTTGGACATGCTTTGTTAAGATCTGTGAAGTTAGTGTAGACCCTCCACTTACCATTGGCCTTCTTCACTAAAACAACATTGGCAAGCCAATCGGGATATTGGACCTCCCGAATGAATTGAGCACTGACGAGTTTGTTAATTTCTTCGCGAATGACCTCCAGACGTTCTGGGGAAACTGTCTTTTCCTCTGCTTTACTGGTCTGGCCCCTGGGCTAATGTTAAGCCTGTGAACTGCAATTTTGGGGTCTATCCCTGGTATATCCTCAACCTTCCAGGCAAAAACGTCAATGTTGCGAGATAAGCAACCAATAAGTTCTGTCTTTAGGGTGACGTTAAGATCCCGACCAATCGTCACCTTTTTATCATGCTAGAGCTCGATTTCCATCAATTCTTTGACAGGAACAAGTCTGACTTGTTGCGCGATCTCGAGCTTTGTCCTTGAGATTTGTATGACGTCGTTATTTATTTCCCGAACGCTGGCAACATAGCATTGTCTGGTAGCTGCTTGGTCTCCACACACGACCCCAACGCCATTACTTGTTGGAAACTTCATGGCTAGGTGGAAGGTAGACACAATGGCTCTGATCTTGTTCAGGAGTGGTCATCCCAAGATAGTGTTATAGGCCATTGAGACACGTACCACTTGAAAAGATGTAATCTCCGTAACCTGTTTCTGGCCAGAAACCAAAGTTTGAGGAAGCTCGACGACACCCTCTGGAGTGATGACTCCTCCCCCAAACCCCTGGAGAGGAGTTTTAACCGCTTTGAGCTGCTGAGATGAGATTCCCATTTTGGCAAAAGCCTCTTGTAGAAGTATATTAGCCGCACTCCCGTTGTCAACCAAGATTCTCTTTACTTCAAAATTGGCCACAATCGCTGAGATGACCAAGGCATCATCATGTGGAAGTCACCTTCCAAGTCCCTGGTTCCAAAAGTAATATTCTCCAACTTTCCATGAGGCATCCTGGAGGCCAAGGTATATTGTCAGGGCATATTGTTTTCTTCCACTGTTCAAGTCTCCTCCCGAGGCAATACCCCCAATGATGATATTGATGGTTCCAACAGTGGGTTGGCCATCCCTTTTTGCTTCAGGGGCTCTTTCCCTACCACGATCGTTCCTCGGGCGTTTGTTGTTACCGACGTAGGAACTCAGGAGTCTTCTTTTAATAAGGGCTTCAGTCTCCCGTTGCAGGGCCTTACAGTTTTCCGTGGTATGCCCATGATCCCGATGGAACTCACAGTATGTATTCATGTCCCTGGATTCGGGTGGTGACCTCATTCTGGCAGGCCATTTGAGTTCCTTCATATCCTTGATCTCCATCAATATATTTGTTTTTGACGTATTTAAACCGTGAATGGTGTCGGGGGAACCTCTTGTCTCTGTTTTCTCCGAGGTGGTTGTTGACGGAGGTTCGGGTTGTGCTGTCGTTTATGCTCGACCCTATCATGGGATGGTCCAACCTTTCTCGGGTTCAGTGTTTTCTCCATATTTATGTACTTCTCGGCTCGGGTAAGAAGCTCGGTCACTGTCTTTGGTGGAGTTTTGGATAACGACATCATGAAAGCCTCACACTTTATGGCATATTTGAGGGCAAAAACTGCTGCAGTTATATGTAGGTCGGGAATCTGAAGTCTTTCCTTGTTGAACCTGGTCATGAAGTCACGTAGGGTCTCATTTTGCCCTTGCCTAAGTTGCAAGAGGGAAGCCCCAGTCTTCCTGATGCGTTTACTGCTTGCGAAAAAAGTAGAGAACTTATCCGCCAAATCCGAGAATGAGGCTATGGAGTTGGGCTCTAAGGTCGAGAACCAATCCCTAGCAGCATTCGTCAAAGTTTGCGGGAAGGCCTTGCACATCACCTGATCTGGTGCGACTTGTAGATTCATAACGTCCGTGTATACGTTGAGACGATTGATTGGATCGGTGGTCCCGTCATACTCTTTGATCCTAGGATACTTAAATCTGTCTAGTAAGGAGAATGTCAATATTTCGGGAGTGAAAGGAGTGTTGGGACTGAATCTTGTTGACCCTTTGTTGCCCTAAAGTAGGCCAGCCGTAATTCCTTCTTGAATAATCCTAGCTAGTTCTTCGGACTCCATGGTCACTGATCTCGAGGCCGAGGTCACATGTGGCATGCCCAAAGCCCCTGCTTCGCCATTGTCAGGGACATGTCGCTGAGCTCGAGCATCAACCATAAAACCCCCCTGGGATGCCGTTGTGGGTGACGGATGCGAATTCCTTTGACTTAGCAGCTGAGTCAGTGTGGCGACCTGTTGTCTGAGCTCTTCAAAGGCTCCGGTAATGACGACTGCTGGTTGGGGCTCTAGCACTTCTGATGATTCCTCTTGAGGAATAGGGATATCCTCAGGATGAGGTTGGTTTGGAGCGGATGAGCTTGCTGGTGGAAGACCTGAACGTGTGTTTACCATGGCTTTTGGTAGCGCTTCCGACAGACGGCGCCAATGATGCTACCAAAAATCGTACCTGTTGATTTTTCGAGTTTGACGACTGATAATGAGCACGAACGAGATCTTCCGGTACCTGAAACAAAGGCGTCGAGATGTGTCCTCGTCGCCCCTCCGATGATTAAGTCAGAGAGAGAATTTGTGCGTGAGGCTATGAACTGAAAATTATGTAAAACGTACCTGAATAATGATCAAGGGCTTTGTATTTATAGAGGTAGGTGGTGTGTTCATACTAGGATTCCGTAGTGCACTTGTAATAGGACAGCTTGATTTTGCAATCTTATACCAATGAGTCCTACGCGAGATAGGAATTTGAATTGTGGTATAACTGGGATACCAATTATTTAATAGAGTTCTTCTGGGTATAGGAGACATAGGTTGAGGAGTTTAAGTCAAGAATAAATTTCTTATTGGATAAGGTGTTGACGCCGGGGACATGTCTAGGACATAATCCCAAGGGCACGTCAAATGACGTTCCACAAACTCTAGGGTCAAGAGCTCGGGCATGTGAAAGATATCCCGAGCACATATATCCCGAGCATACTGATACACAAATCAACAAAATAGAGTCATTGGGTTTGTATACATCGGGAACAGTATTTGGTAACATCACACGTAAATTTAAAAATTTTCTTTATTTTTTAACCATATATTTTCTATCAATACACTATTCAAAAATGCATTCTTATGAAAAATAATATGGCTCAAACAAGGGCTTGAACTATTTGATTCTCGATTTTAAGACTTAGAATCACATCCACTTCCATTAGAATTGGATCAAATCAGTTGGTCCGATCAGATATTGGTGAAAATGATTTGGTCTTAGCTCTAGTTGTGATCGGGTGATTCCAAAGAAACACGCCCACCCGAGTACCTCTCACAATATATATATGTATATAACTTGCAATGATATATAAGGGAATTTAAAATATAGCGGGCATTTCTCTCGTAGCGCGTCAAGAACTGAACACCTAATCTCCTCCGCGTTGAATTTGAATTGAAGAAAAAGAAATACTTCAAATTCATTTTCCCAATGCAAAATCCGTTTACTAATTAAATTATTCGGATTCTTAGCTAGATTGCGTTTTCAATTCAATCATTTTAAAGTGGAGCTTAAGCTGAAGAAATTGAGATGGTTAAAGCTTACGACGATTGGGAAAGGCTCGTCGTAGTCACGCTGAAAAGAGAGCAGTTCCGGCAGATCTGTCGAAGCGTTTCCGTCACCAGCTCCATATCTTTAGAATTTACACCGAGTTTAAATTCTCTCCATTTTTGGAAGCTCGGAGCTTCGTTTACGTATCAGCAGATTAACCGAGCCACTGGTAATTATAATGTCAAAAACTTGATTAAGCGCGGCGAGTCAGGCGATTTCTTCAAGGGTACTTTTGACGATTCTTTAGCATTTTCCATGAGAAACAGAATTAGGGGACGAAGATTGATTCCTGTGGTTATTAAAAGAATCGATTTGCAGTTAGTTAATCCAGAAGCTTATTTGTTAGAGCTGAATTTGTTTAGCAAGATCTCTCATGTGAGATTAGTTCCTCTTTTGGGATATTGCCTGGAGAATGAGAATGAGAAGTTTTTGGTGTATAACAAGAAAGGCTTCGGGCAAGGTTAGACTAAAAAAGCTTTCCATTCCATATATGCGTCATGTTAAGGATACTCTATTCCCAATACTTACATAAAAGCATGCTACCAACTAGTATATTGATTTCGACTAGTAGATTGATGAAGGTCACTGATCCTCTTGATAAAGTTTCGTATGCCATGCCCATTTGTCCCTTTTCTTCGATCAAGTCCTCCCAGAAAGTCCAGAAAGTAGTATTCTAATTCAGATATGGGGCCTATCGTACATGTCAAATAGAGATTTGTCCAGTTCTTTATTTAACAAATTTTACAAGGAATCTGATTCAGATTTACCATTGCTGTATTGGATTACCAGAATGAAAATTGCCATTGGAGCTGCCAAGGGTTTGGCATATCTACACGATGAATGTACTCCCCCTCTTTTTCATGGGTATCTTTCAATTTGCTTTTGATTACATTTTAAATTTTATATTCAAACTTGGATAAATTGTAGAAAACTAATGAGTGAAGAACAGAACTGTCACAGAAGTACAATCAGTTTAAGACTTAAAGCCAACTGTAGAACTTACTTCTGTGTAATTAAAAGTTCTAACTCTTAATGGATAACTAATGCCCAATATAGTATTATTCACTTAACCTGTTTCTTAAAGAGATTTGCAAGCCAGCAGCGTACTGCTTGATGATAATTTTGAAGTGCGGATAGGGAGTCTAAGTCAGGCTGGTGCTACCTTTGAAGTGCGGATAGGGAGTCTAAGTCAGGCTAGTGCTACCGTGCTACAGAAATGGAATCTCATACTCATGAAAACAAGTTCATCAGGTCATTTCAATTCCCTAGCAAGGTTTCATATCATAATCGTTATATAAATATAATCGTTGTCTTTATGCGAACTCTGATGATGAAGTTTGTAACAGAGAAATTATTGTGAAGACGATTGAAATTTCTATTTCTTTCTCAATACTGTTGAGTACAGTCTTGATAATATTTTATCAAACGCTGTAAATGTTGGAACTACATTTCCTTTTCTACAAGTAATGAAATTAACTTGTTTTGTGCTTTTAAGCAATCTTGAAGGTGAATACTATAGCCACATTGAAACTTCTCCAAAACTATAACCATTTCTTCACTTAATCTTATTTTGCATGCTTATACTGCAAAATGATGGTGACAGTTTCCCTTTTCATCTTCAGGACTTACCAAAAAGATACTTTTGGTACGTGCTATTTTCGTATTGCAGTTCTACATCCATTGTTGTCATTTTTACCTGATAGTAGCGGCATATGCTTCTGTTAGGGTTAACTACTGAATTCTTAGGTATATTATAATGCATAATGAAAACTAGTATATTTAGAAGTGTCTAATAGATTCGGAGCCTCATATATTCACTCATTCATAATGAAAATAAGCTGCTTATTTCTCAGTCATGCACTGCACAATCGTGTTTCAAGCATAAATTGCATGAGGTGTAATTATATTATACGAAGTTTATATTCTTTGCAATATAGAAATGCTTCTAGTGGGAAGTTCTTACAATTTTACGTATACAAAATAGTTTGCCTTTGATTAACACTTCTCGGCTAGAAGCCACAAGATAATAATTATGTTGTCACATTTGAGAAGAAATGAACTACTATAGGGCCGACGGCCCTAGGGCCAGCTATAAAGAAAGGGAATAATACATACCAGATCTTATGATTCTTTGCAACAGTTATACATTTAGAAAAATATACTTACATTCTCTCTGCCACATCAGCAATAGAATGTTTTGATCCTACCCACTGGGGGCAAGAGATCAATTATGTAATACAAACAAACCTCTAAATTCAAAATTAAAATATTCCTACTAATCTAATTTTCTGAAACGTTCTTTTCGATCCTAAAATGAGCAAGTATTCCGAATGCGACATGTGCATATGATGTTTATTGCTTTTGGAAGATTTTGCTCATGCTAGTAATAGGCGGGTTGAGTATTAGCGATTGTAGTAATTCCTCAACCAAGAAGTGGTTAGAAACAACATTAACTTACATCAGTAGGTTGGACAAGGACCTCGTTACAAATATTGTGGATCCATCATTAGTAGTAGACGTGGATTCGTTGGAGGAAGTATGGGCTATGGCCATTGTCGCAAAAGATTTGCCTCGACCCCCAGCCTAGAAGGCAGCCCTGTATGAAGTATATTCTTAAAGCTTCGGAAAATCCTTTTGAGGTGATAATGGAAGAATATATTAGCTGTAATAACACTACTTCCTCAGTAGAATTATGGACTGCTTCT